TTAGGCCAAGGATAAGGAGTATTTACACAATTAAACATTTTCAAAATTGACTTCATGGTTTTGAAGTTATTTCAAAAATAGTTAGACGGACATTTTGTTTGGGACGTACTTGTATATGACGCAATAGGCGCCGCCATATTTTTGCCAATGTAAACCGTACTTAAAAACAAGTCGCTGTTATTACGCAAAGAGCGTGGTTGGCTCAGCTCGCTTTATGCAATCCACTGATGTGCACGGAACCATTAATTTCTGAAGCACTTTGCCAAAAAATGGGGGCTTAACACCAAAAGGCTGACGAAAACTCGACTCAAAAAGAACGAGGGTTCAAATTGTGGTCACGGTGGCAGAAAAAGTAATCCCAAATGAACGGTTAAGTGCACATGGCTTTATATGCAAGAAATGGTGGTTTTAAAACTGACACAACAAAGATTTGTGATTCAAAAGAGGTTAAAATCCAGTTTTTACAAACTTACAAAGAGTCGGTTGTGGGAGACCTCTTCGAGGGAAGAAGTAAAAAAAAAGTTCGGAAGCATCTGTTTATTTTGATAAAGCCAATTTTTTGGGAATGGTGTGATTTATTCAATTTGATAGAATGGACCGTTCCAATTAAGGAACAGCAGTACACTGTCCCATATGCACGAACCACAATAACCATTAATTATCTAATAGAATAATTGACAATTTGCCATTAATCACGATACAGGCCTTGGGAAATATAAGGGTAATTTTTCATTCTGAGAATAGAGGGTTTACGTGCAGGGTTTGTGGAGGTTTTTGTTCCGTGTAGGAACCTTTTGATTCATTATCAAAATATGCATGCGTGGTCTTACAAAGATTTTTTTGTTGTACCTAACTTTTTGCCCAATGAAGCACTATTATTTATAAAAGACCTCTGAATTGGATGGAAGCGCCACCTGGCAGCTAGGATTTACGACATTCTGTTTAGGGATTTCCATCAAATTAAAGTATCAATACAGGATATTAATGGGTCGTGGGTCACGAAACCATGCATGTCACCACAATGTCAGTTTACTTCCGCGTACCATGCGCATGTGCACGTAGGTAACTTGAGAACTTGACAAACAAACAAACTAACAAAACAGACATACATGCAAATAGACGAAACAAAAACTAAAAACCAACACCTCTTTAGATTGAGGTGTGTAACACCGAAAAGCTGAAATAAAGCTCTGAAAACTTTTTGTTTGCAAGTTGTCAAAAAAAAAGAAATTATGCCAAATTGACAGCTTGGTGTTTTGCAGGTGCCAACGCGAAATATTCCGTCTTTGTTTGATACAGTTGTATTGTATAATTGTAGAAAAATGATTAATGACTGTTGACGTTTATGTGGGGCCTGTGTCCCCTGTCTGACCCCACCGAATCCGATTTTTGGTGCTGTTTCTCCCCATTGGTACTTTGAGGTCTCTTTGTGCAGTGAGCGATGGGTGTTTTGCTACGGCCCTTTTGTATCAAAATTGTGCATTGAAATCAAAGTTATGCCATTTATGAGAAGGAAGAAAGAACAATTTTGTGACTCCCGGAATCTGTTGTAATTTGATATCCGCATACGGTTTCATGGCGAGGGAACTATGCATCTACCAAAAATATTAACGAAAGGTTTGTGTTGCTGCTGGCAATTGCTTTGAATTGTACATCAAGAAAAAAAAGTTACAGTGTAAATCCCTTAACTGAGGAAATGCCATTGGAATGGACCAAAAACAGGAGTTGTGTTACATAATTGGCATTTTCTCAGCAACCCAAAGCTCTGTTTTCATGATTTTTTTTCTTCAGTATTTGAAAGAAAAAGCATTCAGCTTCAATCTGAAATCCAAAACATAAAAATGTACCTATCACGTTTTGGAAAAAAGGCAAATGTTTCGGAGTTGCATTTGTTTTTGGTCACTGTGTAAGCAAAATAATGTGTGTTTAGACAAGCTCAGTACAGACCTCTTAAATTTCACGCCCTCAAAATAATAGGAAAAAGTGATTTGAAAACGCAAAGAAACCGAAACAATAACACTGATTGTCCCCCCCCCCCCGACTTGATACGGTCCGGCTGTCTTTTTGACACGCCCACTCGTTCAGCCCAACCATGCGTGTGTAGCCTTACGCAAAGAAAAAAAACTGCACAGTACAAAGGGAAAGAGAAAGCGATTGTGCCGTGCTATTGTCCAATAATTTACGAGATTCAGGGGCCGTACATCCTCCGCAGGTTCGACGGTACTTTTTTACCCATTCTTTTGACAAGCGAGCTCCATGCGTGCGCCGTATGGAGACATCAATCCGCCAAACCAGCCAGTATGCGCCGTCATGCGTGCCTCTGTCTCACACACACACACATACATATAGCTACCAGGCACATTTCTCTTTCAAACCCCCTACCCTTCCTTTTTAATTTTTTTCCCGCTCCTGGCGGCCATTTTTGTCTCTGTCACAGATATTTAAATGGAGCTGGCGTCAAGGTTATTTTAAAAGACCTGGATCAGTTTGGTGGCTTTGTTGGCGTATTATGTTTGTCCTTAATTGAAATGCTTTTAGTCGCCTGTTCACTGACAGAAGTAGGTCTGGTTGTAAGCAAACAGATCCGTCCTTTTCTCGTTCATGCCGACAAAAAAGCTGTTGCCATTTTTCTGTTGATTTTTCATGGTTACATTATCCATTGTATTGGCATTGAGATGATAATATATTGATACGCTGAAGGCATGGTATTAAGAGCTCAATGTACAATGCTTAACCAACTTATGATCGAGATTATACCATCCAGACTTCACAATACATGGGTTATTGAATGGTTGGAATATTTTAAGTAAAACATATCTAAAAAAAAAATAAAGTTTGAAATAATTTGCGTTTCTGTCGACGGGAGGTTTTAATGTTAACAGTTCCCCTTAATTGCTCAACAGCAAGATGAACAGCTTTTTAAAAAAAATCATGCAAATTTCTAATATTTTTTTAACCAAAGCATTGTTTTAACTGCATTGTGAATATGACGCATTCGACAAGTTCAACACAGTTCCAATAAAATATATACATGTACATCGACTTTAGCATACTTGCCCATCCCTATATAAGTTATTATGAAATCCTATCCGTCCCCTTATAGAGGTATCAAATCAAAGATGACACATACTTATTCGCCCCCAAGATGGCGGCGCCCGGGTCACGAGATAGCCAACCTCGTCCTCAGTGCTTACTATATTTTCAACCTCGTTTCCAATAGTAAGCCCTGGGCTTGGAACTTGTTTTCTGTATCCTGATTTGATACCGCAATTAGCAAGTAATGGATTTATATCGTGTGCTTGGTGTTGTTATTTCCGACGTGTACTACGTGTTTTCACGTTCATCATAATTATTACGCCCACTCCTAAAAAATAGTCGTCCCCTTTCCATTTTGTTTACATTAATATGTAATGTAATACTGCATATTGGCTTGATAAGATAGCAGCATTAATTTTTAACTTTGATAAAAATCGTGTTTTTGAATCTCACGCCGCGACGAATTGATTCTGTTTTTACCCCAGACACCGCATGAAAAAACAAACGCTGATTTAAAGCACACCCAGACACCAGACTATTCGTAATTTGCATTCGTGTGCAAGACTTTTGAACATACAAATGATTCAATACCAGGGTGAGAGAGCAGGTAGTGGTGGGAGCGTACTGCTCGACACTACGGGAACGAGGGTGAGCAATAGCTTATTTAAGTTCCTCAATTTATATTTTCTTTTTGAATAATTATGACGTCACACGACCGGCTGACTGGCACTTTATACACGTTATAATTTGTTCATTGAGTTGATTTACAGAGTTGATTTGCTTGAAGTTTGTACTATAGACCATGTGACCTGTGACGTCATACCGACAGGCAACCCAAACAATTAAGCATCTATTGCATTTTATTTGGCCCACATTAAACATTTTACGTCACCACTTTTGCACCAATCACATTTCAAGAGATACTCATGCAGTGCAGAAGAGAATAGTTTGCTGAAAGTGGCATCACGTGACCACAACATCCCAATTTGTATACAAAATGTAACATGGTCTATGGCATAAGCATGATGCACTCTGCGAAACGAGGAAGTAATAATGTTCGTCAGTTTGTGTCGTTTGTTTACATTACTCCAGTGATGGCAACTAAGCTCACTCACAGCATCGACATAATCAACCTCGTTTCCAGGGTGTCGAGCAGTACGCTCCCACCACTACCTGCTCTCTCACCCTGGTATTGGATCATTTGCATGTGCACGATTTTTGAACACGTTTGCAAATGAGGAATAGTCTGGTGCCTGCCTGTGCGTTACATTAGCGTTTGTTTTTGTATGCGGTGGCTGAGGTAAAAACAGAATCAATTCGTCGCGCCGTGGGTTACGAAAAATTTTTTTTCTCGAAGTTACAATGTTACAATCTGATGTGCAGTATCACATTTCATATTAATATGAGCAAATTGGAAATGAAAGGATTATTTTTGAGAAGGTGTGGAGTAATAATTACAATGGTCGTGAAAACACGTAATGCACATTGGAAATAACAACACCAACTACACGATATAGATCCATTACTAGCCAATTGCGGTATCGAATCAGGATACAGGAAGCAAGTTTCCTGTCCAGGGTTTGCTATTGGAACCGAGGTTGGAAATATAGTAAGCGCTGGGGACAAGGTTGCGACATAATAGATGGCGGATATTCTCAAAACTGCCGCCCTTGCGTAACCGCTACAAATTTCCATCGAAGAATTCACACAATGAAAGCCGTGGGGCCAAAAAGTCGGAACCATTCAAGACTTGTCGTCATTCCTCGTAACTGATATCGTACTAAATGGAATTTTCTCTCTCTCTCGATGACAGGTGTTTGAGCCGTCAGTCGGATAGAGTGAAAAATATGACTTTATTCAGCGGGGTAACAACAGGCCCGCTACTCTCCACTGCAACAGCACAAAGCCAACGCAGTGATTAATTCAGCAAAATACAGGCATTCAAAATAAAGGTTGTCTCTTACCTCCTATATGTTGGTACAGTTTGGGAGCCTGCGTAGCTGGAGGGTCGACCGTGTCCTTTGCTTGAACCACCCGTAGTATTCAGGCCGGTGACGGCCTGGCGACATTGCGGGATCTGCCTCAATGGTCAGGAATGGGGACGGTATGCCCTTCCCTTTCCAAAAAAAATATATCTCTCCGAGCTACCTTCTACCAAAACAAACCCCATTCCACTTGCTGGAACAGAAATAAACTGCTCATTTGGTAGTCAAACTGACCTCCTTTTTCCATTTTATCCATGGCGATATTGTAAGCTTATAATCATGGTAATCCCATGTGTGGTTCAGCACGATGTCCTGTAGAAACGAATGCAGGGGAATCGGGTTCTAGAACTTCAAGTCATTTCAAATATTTGAATAGAAAGTGTGCATTTCGATTGGTTCTCATTCATGTACTGTTGCAGCGCCGAGATGTTGAACAAAAGGACATTCCAATACCTTTTTCCCCCATGTGCTGCATCTCTTTGGAATTCCTTGCCTGGTGCTTGTTTCCCTCCAACCTATGATCTGTCCTGTTTCAAGAGGAATGTTAATTCCTACCTTCAGTTTTCCTGAGCACTAAGTCTTCTTTTTATTTCTTTTGTAGCCCTGTACATGGAGTGGCTTCTAGCCTTGTACAGGGCGAATATACATACAAAACACCATAGTGTTGCAATCTTTTAATAAAATAAATTCCAATCAATCCGGCTGAAGTTGTGTGCAAAATTATTGTGAACGGCTGAATGGACGCATACGATCTGTTTAAATCTTTGTGTCATTATTGCGCTTATTACTCATTTGGGCCAGGATGTCAACAAGATGGTAAACAAAAAAATATCGCCGAGCAACTTTTCTTTCTTCATGTAGAATAACTTCAAAGGTGATTTTTAAAAAAAAATTATTATATTTCAAATCATCGATGTAGCAATGCGCGACAAGATTATCCCTAAATTATGGATGTACATGGTTATAATATAAACTGATGAATTAAATGAAACTGTTGACTTGTTTTCAACCCCAGAGGCTAGGATTGTGCAAGAATTCCCCTGTTTGTTTGTCATCCATATCCAGAATACCTTGCCAACATCAAAAATGTTTATTAAGAGAACACATTTCGCTTTCAGTTAGTACAACATTATACATAGATTTCAATCAACATATGCATGTGCCTCACATGATTTTTGACCTTTCCAACTTCTATTGTCAAACCAAGTTTCTTTGTACTCAGTAAACGTGCTCGTTAGTTTGTATATTTTTTGTTAATATTAGTCCTCGGAAATGCCCCGTGGCTCCTGAACATGCAAATGTGTTGCTTAATGTCGATTTACAGGATTTCCATGGACGATATTAAATAATGACGGGTAATGTAACAAATTTGCTTAGCACAGAAAAAGTCTGGCTTATAAAAGCAGGTTACCAGCCAAAACTCCATGTGATTGTCATGCTAAGCAAACAGCAGCTGAATACCAATCACAAGCACTATACATCACAATGGCTATTTGGCTGGTAATCCTGTTTTTGCCAAGGAAGACTTTTCATGCTAAGCAAAATGTTGTGCTTAGCAGCTCTAAGAAATTGGCCCCTGTTCTCATTTCATGTTCGGTGATGCTAAATGCAGGTGCATTCGCGGCTTTGGTCACCGCGCTTCGGTGGAATAACTAGGCCGGGTTAACCTTCTGGGGGAAGCTGGGGCTGAGCTTGAGTTGACGATGCCACTGCACCTGTGCCAGTTAGCGCAAGAACTATTGTTAACCATGGTCCGACTAAGTTAGCCCGAACTCTGTCTAGTCGACGATGGTTGGATTACGCTAGTCGACTATTTGGAACCAGCCTACTGCGGCTGGTCGCACCGTGATCAATCGCTGGTTATCAATAGCAATGTTTATAGCTTAGTGAATAAAAAAAAATACATAAAATAAACTAGTTCACCGCTGGTCTTTGCGCAAACTTGGCCTTTGATTATAGGGGTCTACTTATCAGGAATTCAAATTCTCACAAAATGGCGAAAATGGCATATATTGTCTGGTTCCCAGGCCAAAAGATTCTGACGGTTCCGACAAAATTTAAGTCAAGTAGCCGCCACGGCCAAAAAATTAACATGCAGGATCCTGCCCGTTTCCGAAAATGTCCGAACATTTACCAAATACATTTCGTTGACACTCGGATATTAAACCTTATCGGATATACTCGCAACAGCTTGGGTATTTCTGAACGTAAACTAGTTTTTATTTACCAACAAAATACTTGTGCTTGTTATCAGTTTTTGAAGGTTTGAGTTCATCAATCATTGCCTGCATTTTGAAAATGTCAACACCAGGCGTGTTATCCAGTATCTGGACTAAATTGTCCAACGTAGATGTTGTGACCCAAGTATGCAATCGTGTGTATGGGGTTAGGCTTTCGTCAACGCGTCATGTTCTATTTCTGAGTCATGTGACAGCTAGAGACCAATCCGGTCACGCTATCAATTCCATCACGAAGGCCCCTTATATGGCGACAGAGAACACATCTTGAAACTTCTTTCAAGGTACCAGTCACCAGGCTCAGAGCAACGAATGCGATTGGTCAGTGTTGAATGAGAGAGCTTGAAATCTAGATTCTGATTGGCCAATTATTGGCTCTTCCATGTCCAGTTTCAGGATCGTGGTTCAGGCTGTAACTTGAGGAATCCAAAAAAAGGGACTTCTTCAAAATTGTCCTCAGGCTTTAAGAAAATATTGTTATTATTTTTTAATAATTACAATTAAAATCACATATGCAACAATGTGTGACAAGATGATCACTTAATTTTTGATGTGTATAGAGAAAGGAGGGACGACCGGACAGTTTAAACTGGTTCTCAACCGCAGAGGTCTGTGCACAAATTGCCTGGTTTGGTTGTGATCCATACCCAGACTGCCTTGCGAATGTGTGTGTGCTCGTCAGTTTTGTACTTTAGTTAATTAGTCCTCGGAACTGCCTGCACATTCATTTAGTTATTTCATTCAAACGATATGTTGCTTTGCACTGTGCGGCACTTTTTCTAAATGCCGACAAACATGATTTCGCGCACCGTATTTAGACAATGACGGGCAACATATGTAACATGTGGCACGATGTTCACTCCATGATCGATTTTCATTTCATGTTCGGTAATGTTAAATGCAGGCCTAGCCGCGGTTCGGGTCACTGAGCCCGAGTCGACGGTGGTACTGCACTTTTGACTAGAGGCATACGTGCCAGGAATACAAATTCTCAGATACAAATTCAAATCGTCGTGTCCGTGCAACCAGGTCGTATCTCCTAAATGGCGTCATGTACGCGAAACGCGAGTTTTCAATGTCAAAAGGTCGTATCTCGCTTAAAATAACCCGAATGTACACACAGAGTCAATGGACGTCGCGATGCGTGAGACACGACCTCCCCGCACGGAGCGTATTCGCGCGAGATACAACTTTATTGCAGAATCGAGTTAAGACCTTGTTGCACTGACGCTATACGAAATAGACCTGATGCGTTGCAGGTATATCTCAGAGAGTGGTTTTTTTGTTATTGTAATCTAGTACAAAAGGTTTACCCATGCATATCTACGCCATACAAAAACCATTGCCCCTCGACTCCGCCTTAACGGTTAAGGTCTATTGTTCATTTATTTTGTTGCTTATTACTTTGGTAGGTTTTTTTTGGTTTGGTCGATGAAGTGCAGTTATAAGTGCATATATGAGGTATTCTGGCAAAGTGAAACAGAAGTAGGCAGACGTCGAAATGAGGGTTTGTGGGTATTAGGAACAGAAAGAAATCTCTTTACAATACTGTTTGTTTCACTTCAATCGGACATTCCATTGACAAGTTATGGCTGTTTAAAATTCGCATTTATCGATATGTCATAAAAGTACAATACCGAGAAAAGGGCCTTCACAATTCGAGTCTTTTAGTCGTGAAAATGAAAAATCATAATTGTTTATCCTTAAAAAAACACTTTTATTTCACGATTTTTATACCATTTCCTTATAATTTGTGTATAGACATATCAAAGATTACAATGTCAATAAATCCGAGAATCAAAAAAATCACCCCCATTTAGGTTTTTTGCATTATTTCTCCACTATGCCTTTGCCCGGTTTTGTCTTATGTTGCCAGAACGCCTCAGATATTATGTCAAAGTCCCACTTATCAAAACAAGACACATAACAAAGACACAGTTGAACTTAAAAACAAGTTAAAAACGATCTGCATGAATCAGACACTAACGGCAAGAGTGAGATGTCATGCAGGAATTTACAAAAATGATACACTTTAAGTGTAAAATAGGCTCCAAACTGCCTTCGCCGGCCAAATCACGATTTGCATGCCCTCAAATGCTCCGGTATTAGAGCATTTTGAGGGTCGCGAACTTGACGATTTGTAAAAAAAAGAAAAGAGGAAAGTCGTGTAGAGGACTGCCAGCTCGTATTAGTATGAAATGTTCAGATGAAATTAGCCTCTAAAATGGCTTTATAGTTTTGCAATGAAGCGTAGGCATCCGCTTTCAAAATGGCGATGGGCTTCAGGCCTGTTTTTAGGGGTGATCATCTTTGGATGGAATTTTCTCCCAAAAGACATGGTTGAACCCCAGAAAATTGAACGGAAAATGAAAGATGATGAAATAAGCTTTAATTTGATGTGTGTCTCAAACACCTTGTAGAGTTGTGAGTATTTTTAATAACTTTGGGAAGTGCGCGCAATTATCACTATACTGGTCTGCAACGTAATGATGAACATAAACATCAGCTACACGTCCCATTAAAAAGGCTGCATTGACAGTCATAGCTTTCTATTTTCCCCAACGATGTCCATTGAAACCTGGCTGAAGGGCAAATTATGGTACGATCATCGCAGACCAGACGAGAACAATTGAACCTCTTCCCCCGTCAAATGGCGATTGTACATTACCCTTGTAATTGCATCTTGTGTTGCCGATTCCCAGGAGGGAGGCACAGTCCTCTCAATGATGTGTTTGGATTTGAAGATATTATCCCATCAATTCTACCTCATGATTCGTCCCTTTCCAGGGTTTGATGGAGGAGCCCCGTATGGTATAGAAAGGTTATATCGGCCTGACAACAATAGAACACGGAGGGGCACCTCATGAATACAAAATAGCCTCAGAATGGCCTTATGCATTCTATTAAAACTATTAGTCATTTCGGGAGACAGACAAATAAGCCGGTGGCTATAGAGTTCATCCATCACACCGAGATAGAGGACTGTATTACTGCACATCTGTGATGGCAAAGTCGTCAGGCATGAGTACTTACTGGTGGACAAGGCATAAGCAAGACATTTATTTTGGTTTTTTGGGGGGTAGAGTTATGGAAAATGTTCTGGCTCGCTAATTTTGACGTTAATAAGGGCGACAAGCACTGTCTATTCCTTGGGGCCACGCACTTGGGACAACTGCGGTATAATTCACCCCTGCTTTCCTCTTCTCAAGGACATGGTTCTCCAAGTCGATTTTTCCCCACCCGGTATCTTGACACCGAGTGGAGGGGATTAGTGATGGGGCCGATGAGCGCAGACCACCTGGGGGAAAAACTCGCTGAGACACGGTCATCCGTCGAGTTGCCCGTACTTCACATTAGCCACTGACTGTAAGTTATACTATTCAGCGATGCAGTGTCAGGCAGTGAGCCGGAGATAGAGTGACGAACAGACAAGCAAGGGAAGGGGCCGGGGACTCGTGTGAGCGTTGTTCTCAAAAGGGAAAGACAACGGACTGATGACACCTTAAACTACGTCAAAAACATAAAAGATAAACAGAATTAATCTTAAAAGGAAACAAAATCCGCTTATCACTGTGATAAGTGACGATATTTCTGTTTTAAAAAGAAAGAATGATACATTGCCACTCCCCGTTATGATTATAACATTTGGGCTATTCCAGCGTCACGGACTTTATACAACTCAGGCATTTGCTTTGTACTTAAAGAGCTCAGTGAGTAAACCTGATAAATTATTTTTCAAATCGTATACGTCCATCATCTAGTAATGGTCAAGGAGATTACAGACTAGGAGTTTTGGATCATTTCTCTAAATCATTAATTAGATATCATGATTAATTGGCTCTGTCACAGACTTAACATTTTCTTTTATATAATGCTGGAACTGATCTTAGGTAAATTCTGGAGTTCATAATTAAATAAGCGATCGTGAGTATAGCACTGCATTGGTCAAAATGAATATAGGAATTTCGACATTTTCAAATGTGGACAATTCTTCTCCTGCAGTGTCATGAATAAATCAATTATAAGATCAAAGGCACTAAACCGCGACAGCAAGCGCTTGTTTTGGCTTTCTGGCCTTCCCCATTAACCTCCCGAAAATCAGGCGTGGGAGTCATCGAGCGGAAAATTACTGTTTTTGGTGACAAATTGGCCGGTGAATAATTAGAGAGCGGATGTTGTCAAAATAAGCCGTAATCCGAAAACTGAAAAGAATTCTCCACGGGTGTTCCGATCCACCGGGGCTCGCTCGTCGTGATACACCGGGCACAGACGCGAGCATCCCCGGTAACAGATCCCAAGAGAGGCGCACGAGTAACTAATGTACATCTCGCTATACGCACAATGAACAGAAAAAAACCTCGTGTCGATGCATGAGGGAATTTCTCTCGATTTTCTTCCGGTTCATCATCATCCGTGACAAGCGAAACGTGACTGAAGTGGCGGTACGAGTGTGATGACTCTATTATCAATATTTTCTTGACTTCTTTATTTCCTCCTCGTCTGGCATCCCCCTCCTACATTCTGTCTCCCTTTTCCCCCTCCCGCTGGGGGCGACCGTTGATGCTTTTTTTGTGTGCCGGTCCGGACGCGAGCTTGTTTGCAATAGGAAGTCACTGGGGACTAGACACAATCAAGCGGCGATTATCGTCGTTGATGACTTGCGATGCCGTCCCGTCTGCCGGGCTGTCAGGCTCGTGATGCACGCTGCCAAGACAGTTCTTACCCCCCCTTCTTTTTTCCTCTTTTCTCCTCCCATTTTGGAGCGGTTCTTGTCCTGCTTCCTGTATATCGCTTTCAGGATGATCTCCCCCTTCTTTTAAATGGACTGGGCTTTCACATCTTTCTTTTGACTATCACGAGCGCCAATACACACATTCAGGTTTTTTTTGCAATCTGTCTTTGTGCCTTGTATGCCTATTCATTTTCATTCTATTTTCCCCCTTACACAAATATTGGGCTGTTCCGGAAGTGGCTATAAGCCCCGCCCACTTTGGTTTGTGTGCATTTCTCGCAGTGCAAGTGGCCGAGTTTGGTCACCTGACTAAAAACTCGTGATCTAATTGGCCAATTCGCACTGTTTGATTGCCAGGCAGGAAGGGTCCATTGACAATCGGGTGAGAGTCAAACGTTTTTCTCTTCGATAATTTTTTTTATTATTTCATTTCATAATATTTCACAAGTCTGATAAAAAACCTTTCACAAAACCATGTGTTATTTTTTTTAAAGAAAAATGCTGAAAACAATTATAATAGTTTAAACCGTTTACTTACTCATTACAAGTTCACTATGATCGAAATTTGTTGAGACAATTTATTTTTCCGATGATAAATTCGAAGATGATTTTTTTTTTAATACACAAAGTCCCAGGCTTGAAGATTAATAAAGCAGTCAAAACGGAAGCAAACCCGAAAAAAAAATAGAATGCACCAACTTGCAAAGATAGACCGAAGGGCCATCATTCAATTCACCTATTTTTAAAAATCAAAAATAGAACAACGGCCAATCAGATTGAGCGATACATAACACAATGACCAATCACACAGCAGCTTCAATTGTACAGATATAAAAGATAAAGGATTGTGTTCCCGCCTAAACTCCAAGTGCATAGAGACACTGATATGCATGCACAAATGAAATGCCAAACTCCCATTCACGTATGCATTCTTTCACCCAGATTTAGAAGCTGGCTGCTTTCAGAGAAAAATAAATAATTGTGGAAAAAAAAGAAGGTAACCTTTCTAAACCCAAAATGTCATGGTATATGAACAATGAGCACTGTTATCAAAAAAATTGTGGTGTTTCGCAAACTGTTTTATCAAAAACGTGATTTCTGGGCAAAACAGGAATCCAGCATGTTATTTGGGAAAAAAAATCACTGAAGTGTATTACAAACACATACTCATATAAAGTTCTGCGCTATATTTCTGTTAGTGCAACCGTAACGTTACTCAAACATGAGTTGAAAAACTAAATGAAAAATTTGATAAAAAAATAATAAAAATGGCCCAAAACAGATTTAAAAAAGGATCATCACCAGAAAACGTAAAAATATACCAAATAAGGACAGAATCTTGTATTTTTTGTCCAATTTAAACCAAGATTACTTATTATCATGTGTAACATCACAGAATTGTGAAACAAATATGCGTAGTACTTGTGCAAAAAAAAATACCCAAGAAAATGAAATAATAACCAACCCAAAAGTTGTTTATTAAACGTTTATCAAGTGAGTAAGAATAACGAATCGATTTCAACTTCCCGTTTTTTAAAAATGTACTGGGATAAACCAATAACCTACAATAACTGGCAATAAACGATGTAAAAACAATACAATTAGATTACAGCAAAAGTGCACGGCACAAAACAGACTTTAAAAACAAATTAGCACACGTGTGAATTCCGATTTGTCAAAAAAATGACCGTTTTAGTTAATCTGCCCCGAGGCGAAACCGTGTCAACCTTCTGTCATGAAATTATGGTCTTTACGCAAAGACGGGTTCTTCACACCTCTTTCATTACTACAATTCTCGATAATTACTTGGGACGTTCTTCTTGACGTGATATAAAATCCTTTTTTTCTAAACGGATAACGCAGTTGGACCAAGGAATTACGAATTTGTCAAAAACCACACTTTAGAAATCCGAGGGCGACACAGAAATAAATGAGTGTCGAAGGTTTTGGGATTTACGCACGCACGTTGTCCGTCTCAATTTGCGAGCGCCACCTTGCAACATCCCATCGTCCAATCAGGGCTCATCAGGCGAACGCAGCTACTAGGCTTCTCAGCCAATCAGAAACGAGGATTAGGCCTGTTGGGCGCGCAAGGCAAGGCCACTCATTAAGACAGACAATGTGTGTAAAATGCTGGCAAACATGTCTCTTTACTCTCATCTTCCTTTCCAGAGGATTAAAAAAAGCATTACATTGGACTACATGACCTCAATCAATTCAGCCCTGAAAAGTAAAATGAGTACGATTATTGTTTTGTCTCAATGACGAAATTGATGTCGTGGGCTTTTGTTTCATCGTTCTTAAATGACATTTGTAAATTTGCAAGAATCAAAAGAAATTCTCACTCATTCTTCTGTACAAATATCGTTTGAAATGAATGAAACCAAACATAAATACATGCGATGCAATGCTGATCGCCAAAATTAAATCCGTCACTTTGGCTACATTTCCATGATGCAGAAATCTTTTCCGAATTCTCCGAGTTCCGAAACTCAGTCTCGTAATTCTATGTTGCCTAACTTGGCTCAACATTTCGCACTATCGATACTCATGGTATCGGTTTTCCTTATTGTCGATACTTCTCATTATCGATATTACTATTGCGACCTCTCTCTCTCTCTCTCAACCACTGTCCACACACATTCTCTCCGTTTCGTATTAAATAACAAACTTTTAAATAAAAAACTTCCAAGATAGAGAAGTTTCTGCCACTTTTTCTCGCCACAATTCAAGGCATGTACTCTTCATGTCTGCCAAACTAAAGTCATAACAACTTTTTCTTTTCTTTTTTTCTATAAAAAAGGTGATTTGGTATACGATTGTAAGATAATACTACGTCACTCTAGATTTATACCAATGGAAAAAATGAATAATGAATACCTCATTTTTATATTACAATGAACCTATATTATTTCATACTGTGAGGTTGTACAAAAGAAGGTTTGTCTTTATGCGGGGCCGTTTAGTCCAGCATACTGACAAGCTGATAGTGTGGGGCTCTGACGAACTGGGTAGCTGAAGGTTCCCATACCGGAATGCTGTTTGGCTTTAAGGCGAAGTGTGGCAATACTGCTTGAGCAAGGTTCACGGTACATGTACGACGAGGCAGGCACCGAGGCGTACGGGCAAGCCGCCGCGGCAGCCCCGGCTGAATTGTTCAAGTTCTGGTGGCTCATTACGCCGTTGACGTTAGGCGAGGGGAACCCGGAGCTCATGGTCGTCTGTGGGTTGAAACACATGGGTTGGTTGGAGACTCCAGCCAAGGGGTTGACAGTGTTCAGTGACCAAGGGAAGCCTTTCGATCCCAGCGGATTGGCCGACTTGGCTGCCCAGTTGTTGTAGGAGTAGCCGGAGTACAAGCCGTCGTCAAACGGCTGCATCAGACCGTTGAACTGCGAGCCGAAGCCGTTCTTCAGTTCGTTCAGCTGGTTCCGTTCTCTCTTCCTCCACTTGGCCCGGCGGTTCTTAAACCACACCTGCCACCACACACAGAAAAAGAGAGAAAAGGAGGACGGTCAAAGCACAAATAAATACATCTTTAATTAAAAATCAATACCGAATCGAGATCGGCGGGTATCCTTTACATGTAATGACCTTAGCGGGGATTTGAAACTGGATGCCGGGGCAGAGCCGAGCCGGAGTGTTTCATCCGCGACTCTGCCTTTTCGACAAATGCGATCCCGGTGTCGGGTTTCGCTAGGCAATATCGGAGTGTGTACACATGCACAGGCTGAGCTTGATCGAAAAGATGGGTCTCGAAATCCCCCTCGGTACCCTAGCAATCAGGAGCCGAGATTTTAGCCTCATCTGAATCGGATCTCGTACGCCAGCTATCGGCAGCTGGTTCGGATATGTTGTACTTTTCTCCTCCTCCTGTTTGTAATTTTGCCTGCCCTGTTCCGAGCAAGTTGATGATGGAGTAGGTAGGCAATGAGGGACGGTAGGAGAGAGGGGTGGGTTGGGGGCGACAGAGGATAGGTTACAGCTTTACAAGTTCGGGATGTGAGTAGAACGGATGAAAAAAAGGATCTAGAATCAGAAAGATAGAGCATGCAGGTAGACCTGGTAATAATGCAGCACGAGAAAATTGTTAATGAGATTTTAAAATGGGAAAATACAGAAAATGTGCAGGTGAGGCCGGCAAGCAGTTAATCAATTAAGCAGGTGTAACAGCAAAGATTGGCTACCAGCGGTCAACACTGCAGCTAGATGGCACCAATATACATTGGGTAATAACTCCTTAAATAGATTGCGAGGAAGACAAATTATTTTAAGAAACAAACAAGCTAACATTAATTAACCCAGACAGATACAGACAACCTCTAAACGGCAGCACGCGGAGAAACAAAAAAATGACAACAAACAACATTAGCTAGTTGAAACAGTAAAGCATTTATCTGCGGTTTCGAACGTCTGTTAAAAAGTCAATGTTTAAAAAAAAGTAGAATGGTGCAGCACTCGCCATGGCAGTGACTGCCATGAAATCAATGAATGTGTCTGTACGCTTGAATGATTTTTCGATTTTGCTGGCTTCCATTTGGTCCGTAGCCAAATAAAACATCTGCTGGAAATTGTTTATTTAGCTAACTACCCACTTTGATTCAATCAGTGAAACACCTGCACAATTTCATCCAAAAAACGGGAGGATTTAATCGATTATTGTTTTTGTAGCTGAATAACTCCACAAAGCAGCATGTAGATTTGAAAGTAAATAACGACAAGAGAGCTCCACCATTGATGACTGAGGCGCATTTTGTATTCGTTACCATTCGTCGCTTGCATCATGATATAAAATGAATCACACACGTGTATTCAAATCGGCCACTGCACGGTCGTGCATAAATTTCATATGCACGCCAGACGGCAACTTAATAAATAAATAGGGCGATGACTGTCTTGAAATCTACGATAGAGGGCAGTTTTACAATCTCAAAGTCACCTCAGCCAGATTCATCCAATTTCAGGTCTTACGCGTGAGCCTGACCCCAATCGCATGTCGGTCATCGTGAACAGACCAAGTCCAGTGACAAACCGCTTGTTTTCTTGAGTTTTTTATTTTACCGCGGCGGCGCGCCCCATGGACGTATTGTCAAGGGGTACCTGCCGGGGCCTACGGCAAGGCACGGATAGCTGAAGGGGGACCCTCTGACCCCTACTCATCTAGAGGTTTCCGGAAAAGATTTAGGGGAAATTTCCGCAAAGTGCAGTGCACTTCTAGACTGTTCTGGGCCATTGCCGAGTACCTTTGACAGGTATAGGAGTGAGAATGGCAATCCATACAGACTCCTATACCCATGTTATGCATTTAAGAAGAAAAAAACACTGTGACTTTTCCCAACATTTGGATTTCAAAAGCTGAGCGCGCACTTAAAATAAACTTTCATTCAACAAAATGTTGTAAAGTAAAGACAATACCAGCTGTGTTCTGACGTTCATCCCTAATGCCAGGGACATTTTTTAATATTAAATACGATGCAATTTGGGGCTGGTCTTAATTACAGACCCAACCAGCTTATCTGGAACGTATTCATTTCCCTGGTAATCAATCAGTAGCTATATAGGCCTGTCCTTCATTTTTCAATTTTGCTGGTACCGGCTTAGGTTCCCACACAACCCCCAATGAAATTGTTTTGGGAATTTTCGAAAATAGCCCGCCATTTCAGTTTCAATCCAGCCTATCAGCGTGTAAGGTGATACAAGATTTAGATCTTTCCGACCGATCACGTGGGTTTCATTGTCTCATCTCAGGTTAGGAAGCGGGAAAAGTCCCCCAAAATACAACCCATATGTTTGATAACAGAGTCCGTATAGTGGGACACCTTAGCGTGTACGATGGGTGAGGGGCTACCGACCGGTGTTGCAATTTCCCAGCTGGTAGCAGCTGATCGTGCTCGCTGAAAGACATTTTTCCTTCCCGAATTTCTCGGAAGAATATTTTCAGTTCAACCCTCCAACCAGTTAACTTTGAAAAGAAATTTACACAAAAATATGAATATTCAAAACAATTTTATCACCACAATCAAGTTCATTTTACTGTCAAGCCCAAAACTCAAAGTGCACCTTAATTTTGAAATCTTTAGTTAGCGGCAATTATGAATCCCAGCTGCGTTAGTTCACACTCGTCATAAACAATACGACTCTGCTAATTAGATCGCAAAAATTGCTTACTAATCTGTTTGATTTCACGTCACATCGCAAAATATCCAATGCAATTTCACTGTCTGGTGAACACTGCAATAAAATGCTGTATGCATTTGCATACACACAAACCATCTGATACGATGCCATACCATATAGTCATACCATATCATAATAAAACACAGCTTATACTGCCATTACGATAACTTCGTGAGTTTTATGAAATACAAAGATGACAATATATCCCGTTATTTTCTCAAAGTAGTTAGTGCCATTAACAGTGTAAATATTTTATGAACCCGTCTATATAATGAATACTGCATGGACGTTTTTTTTAAACCACAAAACACGGAATACATATTTTAAACGCCTAAATGTCAACTATTCATATAATTTGAACCCATGTACATACAATATCATATTTATACTTGATGTTGTGTGTCTATTTTTATAAGTGAGTGTTTTTTTTACACAGACAATGCAGTGGTAGGAGACACAATGGCGTGCCATATCGCTCATAGAAATTTCATGATCTATGACGGCCCAGGCCGTACGTCGCCGTAGTCCCGGCGCCATGAGCGGAAATCAGGCGCAGATATACTCCTCGTGTAGGCCATGTACACGCGAGAGATCCCATATAGGTTTTGTACACTGGGAGATAATTAACACCTAAATCCCTCCAGCTATTTTAGATTTGATAGTTAATGAATGTCCCCTTCAAGATACTTTCCTTGAGCTGCCTCCTTTTGTCAGGAGGAGCTCGGGACGGGAAAGGCGAGATGCAGGGTCTCGAGAGAACTCCTTAGGTCATGATGGTATCTGAACTGGGTTTGTCTGGACGAATGGGGGGGGGGGAGACACGAGTTTGGACAGCCTTGGGGATCGTCAAACGATGCGACTAAACGGAGATGGGAGATGTGGCACTTGGGAAGGTTCGAGTATGTAAGATGATGTGGTTTATAGTGAAATGATAACAACATCCTCAAAGACAAACGGCAGTACAGCATGTCCCAATAAACATTGTGCATGAAGAAATCGCGGATTTTCTCAACAGTTGATAAATGGTATAGCATTTCAAGCCTATGGCCTTGTTTATAATTGGTGAAAAAATCAAGAAGATCCAACGATGCAAACCAGAGATATCTTTGATTTGGTAAGGCTATGTATTTTTCGACCGGCACAATGTAATTTCCACTCTTAGTATTTGCTTGTATATAACACCAATTATTGGGTTATTGATAATGTGTTTCGCAGTGCTTGCAATATTGCATGGCCTTTGTGTTGCATTTGGATAAGGGTGTTTACAGATAACATTTTGGGTACATAACATTATATAATCAAATCTAATACCACTCGGAATGCCTAATATCAGGTGTTTAGTCTTTGACAAAGATTTTGAAAAGAAAATGAACATGCAATCTTCTCTGACAGCTGAAATGTATTGGGCTTAGCTTAACTACAGGATTCTAATTGTGCAGGAGGAAATAATATAGCCTTACAAAATCAACGATATCTCCGGTTTGCATTGGTGGATTTTCTTGATATCTTTACCAATTATAAACAAGACCATAGGTCTGTCACGATCAGAAACAAATATATAAAAGAGATCACGACGATGACAGTGATTACCTTGATGTGATGACAAAAGTGACTATCACGATGACATTGTGTCAGTGACGGTGACACTGTTGAAGATTATGATGTGGTTTCACGACAAACCCGATCTTAATGACTTAATGCCCTCATGTCACAACAAATAGTACGACAAATCCCAAATCGTGATTACATAAAAACAAACAAACGAATCGATAATCGATCACTGATCACTGTCCGTAACCTTTGACTTTTGACACCACTTGTCCCACGCATGTCAATGCCAACACCCCTACCCACGACCCTATACCCTTTCGCACGGCCTCACACAGCCTACTTGACGGGGGGGGGGGGGGGGGGAGTTATTGTCATTTCCCCCTGATCGGGTTCACCGGTAGGTTAGAGCAATTAAATCATTCGTTCATTCCGACCATAGCCCCTGACGTTGCTTCGTGCATATTTATGCGCGGACAGACATCATTTCGCGCTCAATCAAGAATTGCTTTGCGTATATTCGCAAAAGAAAAAAAACCCAACAAATTCACGAGCGCTTCCTTAAAATAGCTCACGCCCATTATACAAACAGTTGCATTTAATGCAGCGAAATTGTGCTCACACTAAATCATTCTTTTATGGGCAGCTGTCGTTTGAAATAAAAAAATAGCAATTTCCGTAATGACATTACGTTTCAATAATTAGTGAAATAAAATACGCATTTAAGTAATTTATGGTTTTGTTGCTTAGGGTGGATTTAAGTAATGACGTGTGGATGATGAAAATATATCAATTAATGTCATTTGCATCTTACACACGTGATTTTACGTCAGCAATAACCGAATCGGTAAAGTTAAAAGATAATTCCCCTTAACAAACAATATTATTTTTTAAATGAGGCCAGTGAGGGAATGGAAATTAATTTCTTTAATTCCTTTCCAATGAGTAAGTTCTGTATTCCAACTGCGCGAGTGCACATCAAGATTTGACGATTTTTCATTCGGGATAAACATTTCATTGAACATGCGTGCAAAAGCATAGCGGGTACCAGTAAAACTGAAGAGGTTGTTGTGTTCTGTAGTAACATTTTGGACAGCGAAGTGTTTTTAGGTGTCTTGCGTGTCCAAACTTTTGTTCGAACGAAAGTTCCATCTCTGTTCGATTGCACGAAAAATTAAACAGAATGCAGATTTGGTTAACAAGTCCCCCATAGCCTTGTGTGTATTTATCTGCCGCGTTTATCCCGAAAAAAAATCGTCGAATTTTGTTGTGCACCAGACTATTTTGGAAAATTTTGGCTTATTGCGATTCACTTTGGACAAGCCCACTCTGACGAAAATAAACTCTCTGTCACATCAATCAGAGTAAAAACATAATCCTTTAATTCTTAACTTGACTTTTTTGTCTAAATCATTGTCTCAAACTATTGCAGTTTACTCGTCTGATTTGTCATTGGTTTCCTCGCGAAAATATCAGATGACTGATTACCGATGTGATGTAAAATAAAACGGCTTTTTTTTTTAATCCAATCTCCACGCAGACGCATTAACCTTGGCGAAAGTGTCAACTCTACATTCGCTCGCTTACGATTCGTGCCAAAACTGTCTTCTTAGAGAAAGAAACGGCGTTTCTGTACTGCTTGATCGAGCGAACAGGGTAAAAAAAAAGGGAAATCGATCTAAATTAAGGACGACTCGTTTTCAAAAGAAGCAAATGCAACTGTTGGTTTGTCCGAGAGATTCTTCTCAGTGGAGGGGAAGGGTTGGCCTTGGGTTGGTATTGATGGGCGCACAAAGACCTACAGCATGGATACAAGGTTGTGCTATTTTGTGACTCGATCAGAAATCTGTCGCGTTGAATTTGTGAAGATCGATCATTGTTGACATGTAAGTTGTGGACATAGGTTTTAAAATCTTAGAACGTTGACTAAAGAATTGAGTACTTGTGTACAAACTAATCGATTATGAGGACCAAACTAGATCACATACACTCAAAAATCTGTGTTATGGGGCAATCTCACACAATAACTGTGTAATTAAATATGATTAGAAGCCAAATACAGCGTGTCCAATTCCTTAACATCAATGTTCAATTGCTAAACACTGCCCATCAATACTGTTGAGTAAAAATGCGTGTTGAGTATTTAAACATGTTTACAAAGTGATAGCAAAAAATTGTAACAGAAAAGGTTTATTTTTATTGCCAAACATGATGTTTGCAGTGTGCATTATCTAGTCCAGTTCCCAGACCAAAATATTCTGACTATTTTGGCAAACCTCAGGTCAGGTAGGTGCCACGGCACGTGACCAAAACGGGCAGGATCCTCCCCGCTTCCGAAAATGTCCGAAGTTTACCGAATGCAGTTTGTTGACACTCGGATATCTTCGCTACAGTTCGGTTATTTCCGGATGTAAAATACATGATCACTAATGCTCCTCTATATAGGCCAATATAGATATATTATGGAACAGTCTTCCTGAGTATGTGGTTAACCTGGGGCCTCTTGCCAAATTTAACTCTGTTAAACAGCTTTTTTTTTTTAACTTTAAGTGCTATTAAAATAACACTTAAAGTTTCACTGTGATTGGTGCATAACATTTTTTTAAATACAAAATCTCCATGTGCATCTTATAACTGCTTTGTGCTTTCCTTCAATTAAAAGATGAAGAAAAAGAAATATGAAATGTAATAACATCTTTCAATCAAGTCTCCCAGGTTTGTTTGAAGAAGAAATTATTATGTTTCGTGGTTTGTTACACCCGTGAGAAAATATAATCTAGTAAACATTCAACTGAAAAATTTCTTTATAATACAGATAATTTTCTTGCATTTTTAGAAGGAAAACCCGGATCAATGAACAGATAGGAGCCCACACACCTTACAGCATATTCCTAGATGAAATAAATGCATTCGAGACACCGAGTCTATGACGTAGTTTTCTTAATGAGCGTATATGAATCAGATCGCCGTCAGACCATGACAGTAATAATATGTTAAAAAGACGAGTCCTTGCTATATTCATAGTTAATGTAGGTCAGCATTGTTAAGTACACATTTCAGCAGTGTTTTTCGACTTAGTTGAGAGATATTAAAAAATGACCAGTAAAAACAAACACCGAAATTCAAGCATAAATGAAGGTAATGGCAAAGCAATTGAAAAGATAAAAGATGCTATAGGACGTTATTAAGTCAGAGAATAACTGGGAAACGCATTCAAAGAAGGGATTATTGGATTGTTTGTGGCCTCTAGTCAGGCTTTAACAATAATGGAGAAATTAAAACTGCCCTTATACAGTACAAGCCCACCATCTTACTAAGTCGAGTTTCCTGAAGTCTCATACACATTCTGCACTACCGTTGATACAAAATAAGGTATATAGTGTCACCAGACTTTTCATGAAGTCGAAAGCCACGTTTTCCTGACTCGCAAGCAAGTTAACAAAGATGGCACGGCTAGGAATGTTGGTCATGATAGGCAAGGCTCACTTGCGGTATTAATTTGTAAATTAGTACTAAGTTTGTTTTTAGTACTACAAAGACTTTCAACTGGTCACACTTCCTTCAGCCAGATCCAAACTTTTAGGGGCGGATCTACGGGGGGGGGGGGGGGGAGTTCAGAGGGTTTACTTCACCCCATCCCCAGGCAGAAAAAAACCCGAAAAGCCATGCAGAAAAAAACTACACATGCCTGCTATACCCCACTTGAAAGCTAAGCCGCCCTCTTGAGCAAAACATGGATCCGCCCCTGCCATAATATTTGAAGTTGAAGCCTCTTAAGTCATAAGTCATAAACAATCTTTCATCAAAAATTTGTCTCAAGAAATGTTTTATTTCGACAGAAGATAAATAGTTATCTTACCCTGACGCGTGACTCGGTCAGGTTGGTCCACGCAGCGATCTCCTCCCGTGTGGACATGTCCGGGTAGCGATTCCGAGCGAAGTTCCCTTCCAGCTCCTGCAGCTGTTGGCTGGTGAAATGCGTCCTCTGTCGGCGCTGCCGCCGCTTCTTGCTCGCCTCGTTCTCCGACGAGTTCTCCTCCGTGGCACTGGTGTTTCCGTTCTCGACGTTGGTCTCGCCTGAGGAGAGAAAGGAAGAAAAACAAAGTCAGCAGAAGATTAAATGTGGGCTGAACTTTTGAAAAACAAGCTGCAGTGAACAAACTCAGTGTTGTTCCCATTATACGGTGTATTCACATCAGTATTCTGACGGAATACACGATTTGCTTTTGACAGTGTTTTTGCTGGACTCGATGTGACCAGCCTAGCCCTCCAACTGACCTGCCTCCCCGCCTGGCTGACTGGCCACAGAGCAAGGAACATCCTAAACTAAACATTTCGGGCCAGCTGGGCTAAGCAAGCTTGGTCTCGTTTCTAAATCCATCCATTGTCCACAAAATCAGACGACGAGAACACGAATAGCGACATCAGGCAAAAACAAAAACCAAACAATTTCGACAGAAATCTGGGCAGTCCTGCATATTTCAAAAACGCAAGTGATACAGAAGTACTTTTTTATTTTAAAATTTTTCTGACTATCTTTCGTCAGTTTGATTTCCGAGTTTGAGCAAAAGTGTATCTCAGGAAGTCCTCAGTCAATGGTTTAAGCAGAATGATTAATTGGTGGACGAACGGCAAAGCAAACACGCTGAGGGGTTATCTGCGCTAAGTCCAACCACTTGACCATCGAGTTGATGAGATTAAGGACTGGAGAGGTTTCTCGCTTGACGCTCTTGTCAAGCCCTGAATTAATACTGTATAGCAGAAGAGCCAATACTGAGTCGGCATTCGGTGCTCCTTCCACCAATAGGGTTTTAAAATACACGCGCGCCTAAAATAAAGAACGCACTACGCCACCACATTAATGGAGATGTCTGTGACAGGGAACTGACATCAATTCACCAATATCTGAATTAGGACATAGACAAAAAACACGCAAGTCTAACGCATTCATGCCAAAGATTGGATTATTATGAACACACCTCAAAAACCATAGCTTATGTCAAGCGCTATGAACTCCTCATTCGATTACTGTTCAACTTGCCAAGATATTTACGAGCTGCAGTAATACAGACCACTGTATACCCAAGGCTATGGTAAAACTTACAAACACGCTATAAATTAGCAGGTGTAAGTTCTAAACTGGCAGCAGTCTTATTTTGCTGTAAATGTGGATCATGTGACAGATTGCAACGAATCCCATAGGTGGTATAAATCTGCGAGCTGACGTCTCGAAATCGGTGAATGGTCGGCGAAAGAAAAAAAGCAGCAGGGAAAATGGATTCAGATTCAGAGAGTTATACAAAACATAAAATCGAATAATATTTCCATTGAGGAATTATTTTTGTATGATTTGATTTTCACTGCGTTTAAAGAAAATATCCAAGTTGGCAATGCTATCTTTTTTGGCTTTTCCAAAATGAAATTATTTCAAAAAGGCCGAATTAAAATCGTCCCACATAGATCCAAACAAAATGGGAGTGTGTGCAACCAACAGGAAACGGGAACAGAAACGAAAAATGGGCAAACAACTAAACTGAACAAACACACAAACAAACAGGCATGCCGGGCTGCTGACGCCAACTATACGTTCATATTGTGTCCATTCAGCTTGTTGGAAGTCCGTGCCTTTTATCGCACGTCAATATTCTCATTCAAAACCAGAACGGATATATGAAGTCATTGGGCCCCTCGCGGGTGTAATGTGAAAATGTCTTTCTTATAAAATTTTTGTTTTTATCGGGTTTGGGTTAACTTTATTATTCCCTTCGTGGACTCAGTAAAAAAAAACGTTGGAAGTTTACCTATACGATTCACAGTCCATGTTACTGTGCACTTTTAAACCAAATATCTTCCTTTACTTATCTACATGAACTCACTAAATATACGTTCTTCTGTCTCAGTGTGTAAGTACAACATATCGTGGATTATCTCCTGACAAATTGTAGTTGGCATCTTTCTGATTGTTCCACATGATAGGAAAAGTACACCGCTAATTGGTTGCCGACAGAGGCTGACACTTGCTGCAACTCCGGGGATCTGATAACGTCAGCGCGTAGCCGAGCCACCCAACAGCCGCGTCCTGCCGGGCGGGGTAGTCTGACAACCACGCTAAGTGGAAGCGAAGCCCGTGTTCCGTTGAGGGGAAACCCATATACCTCAGTTTTGTGTATGGTCCGCTGGCTGGGTTATTCTAACGGCTTACGCGTTTCTTTCCTTGGAAAGCCCCCTCACTCCCGTAGTAAATTATACGGATTTGAGGCCAATTATACTGAAAGCTGGACGCTGCGGCTGCATTTGTGGGTAGAGGAATCTAATCCTTACGCATCCCTGTGGTAAACTAGGACGTTTAGATCCTTGGATCTAAGAGATTAAAAACATACAATCAAATTCTCTGTAGTAGGCCTACTGATATGGAATTGAGTGATGTCTAGATCATTACCGAGTTCAGTTAGCGTAACACATAGAATGCACCAACACCAACGATACCAGACGAGATAGAGGATTTTTTTCCCGTCGGAGTAGTAAATCCCCCAAGTAATCCAGACCTTATTAATCCATTTGAGCGGCTAGACTTAGCCTCGGAGCTGACATCAGGAAACAGGTTCTAAGGTTTTACACTGAGCAAACTAGACAGATGATGGAGGAGTTTGCGCCACACCCGACAACACTACGGGGTGGGGGCGTCTCTCCCCTCCCTTCTCTAATGTCAAATGTCATACCCTGAAGCTGGGATATCAAACAAGCCCTGTGCCTTACTATTAAACTCCAACCGATCAGTAAGGCCTTTCAACTGTTCAGTAATTAGTGTAATACATTTCTAAAATCAATTTATCCCCAATGAATAAGCAAATTTGTGTCCTAATATGTACTGATCTCATTATAACAAAATCTGAAATCCTCGTCCGAGATTGATTTTTTTGTCCACCGCTAAGATCTGCAATTAACTTTGATTAATCGGTCAAGGACAATGATTGTTCCCCAATATTATAGAGTGGATTTAGATTAAGACATTATAACCTATTCCAAAATGGAACGAAGCAAACTCAATTTCTTGTATTTCGAAAGCAAGATTATCATTTCATCATTTAAAAAAAAAAAAACATGATGATGGAAATGTATCGCCATGTTGCATGTAAATTTAATTCACGTGTAACCCGAACGGCGATAATCTCTTTAGGGATACAATAATGGACGCAGTACTCCAGAATACAAGCTTTGGAATACTTGAAAAAAACATCTCCAGCTCCATCGCTCAAAGAAAACACAAAGCCTTTCCCCCTTGGGAGATTAGCTTAAGCCGATTATCTATCTATGGATTTCATCCTGGCGTGTCGACGGTAATTATACTTCTGTGTTTGGATGGCAAGCATTTCCTTGTTCCGTACATTTCAAATTCAAATTGTGACACCTGATGATCCAACAAAGGGTTGAAAATGGAGGAAGTGTCTATCTATTTATTACAACAAAGGTAGAATAATGTATTGTTATGTTTGTGTATTTTTTCCCAATGAAAAGCCATTTACATTCTTTCAGTGATGTTTTCTCTTGTAAGTGGTTACGGAATCCGAAATTGTCCAAAGATTGTTGAAATATATTAACCTTGTGGGGTGAAAACAAAGCTTAAAATAACTAAACCTCGAGTAAATGACAAAGAAATTAACCGATTTCACTGATAAAGCCACGAAGGGTCATTTGTAATCACCCGGAAAAGTACCTACCTATCTAATGACGGAAACTTTCCTCAAAGTGAAGATAGCATCGTTTTGAAGAAAAGTAACGTTGAAGGTGGTCTGATGTGCGTGAGCAACGGAATCAGGTCCAGTTACCAGACCCTAAAAAACTGTGCATACGTTTTCCATAGTTTCTCAAAATGTGTGGTATTCACTAAGCTGAAACCTCAACAGGTTAGTTGTTAAGCACCCTACTTAAGATTAAGATCAATTCTGTTGCTTCAAACGAAACAAAATGCACAAAATGCAACGATCCTACTGTTAGCATCGATTGCATCTGAAGATAACGGTTAACAGATAAAATCAATGATCTTGTTTGGACTTGTAATCTGTTTAATTGATTGAAATCTTTTCGTTTGTTTTTATTTTAAAGACAACTTGGTATCAGTCCATTCATCGCACGTAATTGACCATTTACCTTGTTTGTTTATTTGCTTTGTTTACTTGTTTTATTAGAATTATTTTCTCAAGACAGGCAGACGTGATGGATGAACGGCGCATCTTTGTGTAAGCAGCTCACTGGCGACAATACACGCCCTACCCGTTGACTGTGCAGTGTTTTCATTGAGTATCATCATTTCCTTGTTTTCGAACTACACACCGATACACTGGGCTAATGTTGACATCCCGTGACAGATGAGGAAACGTCTCAGATAAAAAAGATTTTAATTACAACGGTTTTTGTTTGATAGTTTGTTTGCTTGTTCTTTGTTTGCATGGGAACATTGGTAGTCACACAGAAACATATACCTACCGAATAATGAGAAAACCTTGAATGAACTAGAAATGGTATCAACTGAAAGAAAACAATTGAAGGTGATTTTATAAAAGTGTGTCCACGTGCACACCTTTTAAGGTGCGTTAAGAGATCCAAAAATGCCTATGTTGTCGGTTTTCTAGGCAGGGAGCTGAAACGTGAACAGGTTAAATGTTATGCATACACCCTTCTTATAAGATTAAAGGCAGTGTTTCAAACGAATAAGAAATACACAAACAACAAAATGATCATGTATATCTTTAAGAAATGAAATGCCGACAACAGGTGCTCATGTAAACATTACAATAATTATAATTTCATTTTAATTGGCCTTCGCTCATATGTAACGAATGTCTATGAAGCTTCTAACAGTTCGTTATTGGAGCCTCCGTGCTTTCACTAATTAATCCTGAACGTCATTAGCTTTAGCAGACAAGGAAAAAATGTCAGGTGTATCAAGGGAACTGAACTCATGATGGAAACACAAGATAATTTCACATAATCTGTGGAGTAAAAAATATTTCGATGTTGTATATTAAAAGCAGGAATCCTTACATGCTTAAAACTGACGTCAAAATCCCCCAGTTTTC